GCCCAAACCCTGCCGAACCCCCAGGAGCCCAACCCTGAAGCCAAGTAAGAAGTAGGTGATATGGTCCCTTGTGGTGATTTGTGAACTGCTTGGATTCTTCTGAAGGAAAGACACTGATATAGCACCATAACCCTTCCTGTATGTTACTCCAGTTATAACACACTCAGCACATGAGCAATTAAAGATCCAACCTCCCCTGCACTGACATCATTCACATGTGATCAATCTCATGTGTTTAGCTGTATTATATGGTCCTAGTTCATTTGAAGATCTTGAAAAGGGAAATATGTCTTTAGCTTTTCTCCTGATGGACAGCTGTGCTGACTGCATGATGTGAAATTAAGACCCAAATTCAAACCCACCCTCTGCTATGGAAGCTCATTGGGTGAGTTTGGGCAACTCCTACTTTCTCAGCCTATCCTACTTCTCAGAGTTGTCATGGTGGTCGTGAAAAATGGGAGAAGAGGATGCTATGGATGAGCTCTTGAGGGAAAAGGATGGTAAATAATGTCTCTTGGTGGGAGACAGGATTCTCCTTCAAGTGAGAAGCACTCACTTAATTAGCATTTGTTTTGAGCAAACTCTGAATGAGATTATGGTCAACGCAAGATCTGCTAGATTAGTATTTTTTTTAACTGTGGTTTGAGGCCATCATAACTTCAAACTGTTATTAAATGAACACTCATAAGTCAAGGACTACCTGTAAATTCTTTTATTTGTTCTTCCATTCAAATTTCAGTAAATTATACATTTTAGAAATTGCATGTTTATCATTTGTACACAATTCTATTTCAAACGGAGTTCTCCAATGTTCAAAACCAAATTATTTTGTCTACTTTAAATCTTCCTAATACAGGGGTGGGCAATTGTGGCTCTTTTACAACCTGTGGACTTCAACTCCCAGAATTCCTGAGACAGCTTGGGAGTTGAAGTCCACAGGTTGTAAAAGAGCCACAATTGCCCACCCCTGTCCTAATACATGCAAAATAAGAAAATCATTGGCAATTATGCCACCAGTTCTTCTCTTGGTTTTATTTTTATTTCCCTTGACAAAATTATAATCTCTTGATAAATTAGTCATTTTTCTTTGCCTATGATTTTTCATCTATAAAATGCTTCTTGTGGAGAGCCACAAATGTATTTTGGGCACAATCTGGGTTTGTATCTATTCCGTATACTCAATATGTCACATATAACATAATGACTTTTAAAATCCACATTAACCTTGACTTTGTCGTACCACAGATACCCATGCCATCCAAACTTCTGGCTATATCCTTCTAGCTCCAAAAACCTTCTGTTTCTCAGCAACATCTACTCTTTGATCCAAATGAAACAGTAAGCTACAAAATACATCTTCAAATCAGATCAATCCAATCTTTCTCTTCCCTTTGCATCTTGTAATATCTTATATTTAATTCATGATTAATATAAAGATTTTTCCCCTGCCACACAAATTTAGATATATGCTTTTGCCACTGTTTAAATGGTGCATCAGTTGTCAAAATAGATATTATAGAAAATAAAAGTATCATTCTAGGCAGGACTTTCATTTTTATTACAGAAACTCTCCCCAGCAATGACAATTGTATGATAGTTTCTCCCATCTTAGCAACATAATTATTTTGAAATCAAATGCAGTTCATATTTGTCATAGTGATATGCAAATATTTCATTTTCTTCTCAATATTAAAAACCATTTTATTCATTGATTCTGTTTGATCTCTATTTTCTTGCTTTTGTTAACATTTTCATATTTGGTTTTGATCTTAAATCCTGCTAATGCACCAATTTATTTTAGTTTTCCCATTAATGTTTCAATTCCCTTTAAGGGAACTTTCACAATCAATACCAAGTCATCTGCAAAATTATTTATATATTTTTTAAAATCTTTACTTTCACAATTCTCTCATTTAATCTTATATCTTTACTCACTATTTCAAGAACCAAAATAAACAAGGAAAGAGACAGGGGTCATTTCTGTCTTTTTCTTTTTAATATCTCTATTAGGTTTTTGTTAGATTTTGTTAGATCTATCAATTATCTGTTCTTTTGGTGAATCATAAATTAACCTTAATGCAGCTTATATGGACACATTAATCAATTTCTTAAACACTCTTAGTTATAACTAATTTACAGCTAAAGGCAGATTTTCTGAGTGGCAGGATAAGAGACTTCCACTTGGTGAGTCAACATTCTTTCTGGACTAAAAATGGGGGAGGACAGGTTTTTATCATTTAAAAGACTTTTGGCAAAAAGCTTAACAAGAAATGGATGTTAGAAAGTTGAAAACAGATAAAGTGAATAGTTATTTTGAAATTCATTTTTTATTTTTATTATTTATCAATTGTTTTACCGGTAGTGAATGTGCTTTGGAATAATTTGGAATTAAACTAGACAAATGAACCGGACATTTGTGGGAATATTTTTTCTGTTTACTATTACAGAGCACAGACAATTGGTGGATTTTACCAAATAAAAATTAAAGGTAATAAGAAGCTGACAGTGGTGCTGACTATAACCACAGAGTGCCATTTGAGATAACTAAAGTATTAAGGACACAGAAAGACAAAACGGAAAAAAAGAGCTCTCCTTATACTTTTTCCCTGACAATTGAGACACTTTCACTTTTGGATCAAAATATTACAATAGCAACCACCAGAAAAGCAGCATAAATAGCAGAGAAGAGGGTTAGGGCACTCTGCAGAGCAACCTGCAGAGAGATGAATTACACCATATTTATGTTAGAAAAGATTTGAGGAATTGAGCAATAAGTTAGCCGAGTCATTTGATACTTAATTGGCCAAATTCCTGGATATTAAATTGACAGCTTTTGAAAAGAATGTATGAGACTTTTTAAACATGAAAGAGGAGATGAAAGAAGTTAAAAAGATGGACACTTCTCTAAAACAGGTGTTTCGAGATGCAGAATAAACTGTCATTTGTTTTAAAAAGACACAAGTTATGAGCAGCTGGAAAGAAAATTATAAATAAATTGGGACTATTGGAAGAGAGCACAGCAGATAAATCCTGATTGAATCTCAGCCAGTCTTTAGACATCCAAATGATAACCCATTCAAAATACATCCCCTAGTAGTGCAGGTCTGTAACAGTTCCCTTCCCCTTGTGAGCCTTCTAAAAATAATGACTGTGCTTACCATTAAACATACTCAAGAGAAAGGAATCGCTTTTTCTAACAAATACTACTGGAAAATTCTTTTTTTTCCACCTAGGTAACAGCCAGCTTTGAAGAGGTTGTACAGTCGTATTTTAAAAGTCTGAGTCAGTGGTGGGTTGCTCCTGGTTCGCACCGGTTCGCAAGAACTTGTAGTTGGCTGGCCACACCCTCGAACCGGTCCCCGGCCCGGTCGCCACTCACTTACCCCGCCCACCTCATCAGAGGCTTTTTTTTTTCTTTTAAAAGTATTTTTTTCTACAATCTCTTCAGCCAAAAAAATGCTTTTAAAAGTAAAAAAAAAAACCTCTGATGATCATGTGGCTCAGCTGGGCTTCAGCTTGGGCTGAAGAGGTTGTAGGGAAAAAAATGCCTTTAAAAGCCTCTGCCGATCCCAGCTGAGTTGCCTGATCGTCAGAGGCTTCTAAAAGCATTTTTTCCTGCAACCTCTTAAGGTTGTAGAAAAAATGCTTTTAAAAGTAAAAAAAAAAAAAAAGTTGGCCATGCCCACCCAGTCACATTACCCCCCACCAAGACATGCCCACAAAATAAGCCATGCCCACAGAACCCGTAGTAAAAAAATTTAGAACCCACCCCTGGTCTGAGTTGGTAAAAAGGCTTAATAAAAAATAGAGATACCACATAAAAAGTGAAAACTACCTATACCTTGATAGAATATAGGCTAGCTTTGCGTAATTTTGATGAATTCCCTATAGTTCTAAAAGCCTTACCTCAAGTAAAAACTCAAGTGAGATTGGAAGGAAAGAGGTCTCCTTTAAAACAACCAGTTGTGTTTGGAAGTGAGCATTTACTAGGAAAACAAATGGGCATCGGTCACAAGCCTTATCCAAACCCCAGGGGCAACAGAAAATAAAAATGTGACATATACCTAAATCTAAATTTAAAAAATTTCAAGAAGAGTACAGCAAACAAACAAAACCATGAATAGCTAAAGAAAAATACAATTTTTCATAAGAATATTAAAAAGCAGTGAACAAAGAACTAATAAACTATAAAGGAGGCATGCAGGTAGTAACAAAAATGGCAGGGCCTTAAGGTGAAAATAGGAACCATAATACCAAGCAAGTTCTGCAACAAGGTCATCAGATTTAGTAGCATAGATTTATGAAGAAAGTAGTGACACATTCATCAAAAAGTATGCTGTAGTGTAAATCAAGCCTTTGGTCTAAGAATTTCTAATAAAAATGAGTTGTGGTGGTGCAGTGGTTGGAGCGCAGTACTGCAGGCTACTTCTGCTGACTGCTGATTGCCAGCAGTTTGGCAGTTCAAGTCCCACCAGCTCAAGGTTGACTCAGCCTTCCATCCTTCTGAGGTGGGTAAAATGAGGACCCAAATTGTTGGGGGCCATATGATGACTTTGTAAACTGCTTAGAGAGGTCTGTAAAGCGGTATATAAGTCTAAGTGCTATTGCTAAATGATACATTGAACATATCGTGTGTGCGTTTGTGCACATACACAAACACACAAGTGCACATGCATGCAAACCATTTGAGCTCTAGAAAACTCACAGCTTCTCAGAATTACAATGCCCCCCACCCCCGAAAATGACATTAATAAGAACAAGAGAACTGGGTAAGGAAGAAAAACCACTAATTATTACTAGACCGGGGTAGGTTGGTTGCAGCTAATAGGCTCTGTGAAAATGCTAGGAATCTGTTCCAAGAAGCCTCTTGTTCGATGTTTATTTCTAACAAATGTGAGATGTGGACTACCCCTTGCTGTGCAAATATCCAAGGATATGTAAATTTTAATCCCATCAGTCATACCTCCTTTTTTCTTGCCCCTCTCTTCCTCTGCCCTCAGATGAATCCAGCCTGAAAATGAATGAGGTAGACCATGTGCCTCAGTCTCTTGCTAGCCACGCTGACAGCTACCTCTGGGGTGCACAAAAGGATGAACATGGAGCTGATATGCTGAAGCCTGACCCTCGGGATATTTTCTTCCTCAGTAAGTGGGAGAGAAGAAACAATTTGACTAAGAGGAACACAGTTGGAGACTAGGAAACTGTATTGTGCTTTGAAGTACGATAAAAGCTTGGCGCTTGGGGATTAGGCTAAGTAAATATCTGTGTGAGCAGCCAAGTGTTAAACAGGCATTCATAAAAAGTGTTTATGTATGGGGAAATTGACCACATTTCTGTGTTACTATCTTGAGAACTTTGGAAAGGGCAAGATAGATGTCTCCAACCTGATGTTCACCAAGAATATTGGGGTACTTCAGCATGGGAATAACAAAAGCTGGTCCTATATTGTTTATAACGCAATATAACGTTATTGTTTATAACAATGTAAATATTGTTTATAAGTAGATCACTTTATGCTGCAAGGAAGGATGCTCCTAAGAAAGTGCTTCTCCACAGAAAGCAAAATTCCTCCTCATAAAGTGCCAAAAAGATGAATATCTGGCACTTAACTGAACCAATTAAGTGTGAATGTCATAGATGAGGACAAATCAAGACAAGAAGATCATAATTTGCAGTGAATAGTCCGTTATATTGAGTTCATGTAGATCCTGGAACATCATGTGATCTAGAAAGGTCTCATTTCTTCTTTTTTAATTGCCTTTATATCAGCTCCCCAGATTGAGCCGTCCCATGTGGAGAATGTGCTGGTCCCCTGTGCCTACAGCCCCACATATGTGGTGAAGGACTTTCCTATTGCCCGCTATCAGGGCCTGCAATTTGTAAGTGTCTGAGGGGCTTTGTTACCATTTTTCCCCTGCCCACATTTCTCGTCTTTTTGTTATTTCTTGTTAGTATGCAAAATAACAGCATCAACAGTGATCAGAACATTTTAATGGGAACTGCATTAACATTATTAATGAAATGTTAATGTTCAGAAAAGAGAGGAAAGGTGAATCTAGGAAGAGAGAACTGGGAAAGGATAAAGAAGAGAAAAGAAAGGGAAGGTAATTACTGCCTGAATACCGAAACCATATTTAATGTCTTTTAATAAATTCCTATGTTTCTTCAGCCACAATTCCTGGAGTGGAAGTTTGTTTCTCTATCAAAGAAAATAAAAGCTAGATTTAAAATATATCACAACACAGACATTGAGATGCAGACCTTAACAGTTTTTCTCACCCTAGTTAAGAAGGTTTATGGTCCTGTATAATAATTGTGTTTTAGGATTTGCTTATTCCTGGTGATATAGTCCACACCAGTGGTGGGTTTTAAAATTTTGTACTACTGGTTCTGTGGGTGTGGCTTGGTGGGCATGGCATGGCTTGGTGGGGGTGGCTTGGTGGGGGTGGCATGGGAAGGATACTGTAAAATCTCATTCCCACCCCACTCCAGGGGAAGGATACTGCAAAATACCCATTTCCTCCAGATCATCTGGGAATTGGGAGGCAGAGAATAGATGGGGGCGGGGCCAGTCAGAATTTTTAATACCAGTTCTCTGAACTACTCAAAATTTTTGCTACCGGTTCTCCAGAACTGGTCAGAACCTGCTGAAACCCACCTCTGGTCCACACATCTGTTCTTCTTTTTCCTTAATCTCTGTTGAAACTGGAATGATAGACATCTTATTGTGACTTTTCTTACCAGTTTTCCCCTTCTACAGGTCTACCTCTCTTTTGTTTATCCTAATGATTTCACCCGGCTTACACACATGGAATCAGAGAACAAATGCTTCTACAGAGAATCTCCAATGTACCTAGAGAAGTAAGTATGAAGAAGAGTCATTACAAAGCAGCTCTGAAAGAAGTGATTGAAGTGTGGAAAGTCTATTGGTGAAAGAAAGTATGTTATCTTTTAACAGACTGAAGGTTCATCCACACGACCTGCTCACAGCAATGACAATATGTCCCACTTTCTGTTTGTTAAGGACTTTGCAATGGAGGTTCATCTAGTTAGTAGGTAGCCTACTACTGAGGCATGTTGCAGCTGGGTCCAAAGTATTTTGGCATGAAAGAAATATTTTTCTAGAAGATCTCTCTTTTGGACAATAGCAATAGCACCTACTTACTGCCCCATATTGCTTTTCAGCACTCTCTGGGCGGCATATATTGCCCCCAACAATCTGGGTCCTCATTTTATTGACCTCAGAAGGATGAAAGGCTGGGTCAACACTGAGCTGGTCAGGATCAAACTCCTGGCTGTGGGCAGAGTTAACCTATAGTACTGCATTCTAACCACTGCATCACCATGGCTCCTTGGCATATGGGGAAAGAAGCTTGAGGTGAGATGATCAGAGGTGCAAATCTGCTTAGCTGCAATTGGTCTAGTAGGCCTGTGATGGGACCACCCACTTTTGTTCAGTCCCTGGGCCTGACTCTTGTTTCTGTGGTACTATGTTGACTCTGTGGGAGACTAAAATTGTCACACTTTCACAGGGACATCCTCCCTCCTCATCCCCACTTTAAGTATTGGTGACTGGTGGACCTAGAAATCACGAAGCCTTCTTTATGACTAGCCTTCTCTGCCTCAACAAGTGTAATAGAAACAGAAAATGATGCTTCTGTGTCCCATATGATGAGGTATTCCCTTTCCAGTGCCCAGTGCTTTCTGGGAATGCACTCAGTCACTCTCTTCCTGGAATTATTATTTCTTTTTAAAAAAAAGTTACTTGCAAATTGCAATTTGGTACAGACAGGACTTCAACATATAGTTATAAATTTTTCCTCTTCTAGTATTTTGGATGTTCAAAACTGTGTATGTGTGCTGTGATGTGATGCATGCATCAGTGAAGTTGTTGAAGATGGTGGAACTTGCTGAGATGGCTAAATTGAATTGTTTGATCAGAGAAAAGGCAATGACTATATTTATTGCTGTATGGCAAAGCCTTATAGACGTCTTGCATGAAACAGGGGAAAAAATGAACTTGTGATTTATGGTTTTGATGAGTAGATGGAATAAATTGTAAAAAGAAGAGAGTTGTGTTATAACCATAGAATAAGGGGTAAATTTATAATTGCACATATAGCTGCTGTAAAGAAGATTGGAAACTACTTCTTTGTATCTTATTTCTTTCTTTCCTATTTTTCTTTTACTTTTTTTCTTTGTTGAATTTTTAGGGTTCTCTTTGATTTATTTCTTCACTTTTCATTAATTTGTATTAGTTTTTATCTTTTTTAAAAATATCCTTAATAAAATTATACAAAAAAATTGAATTATAAAGAATCTCCAGCTGTTTAACAATGCACTACTGTAGCTATATCTCAGTTACAGAAATCTGGATGATCGATAGGTGGCTAAGGAAGAGAGCCTTTTTTTTTTTTTTGCCACCATCTAGTAGTTGAAAAATAGATCTGAAATAAAACTGGAGAAATTATATGGATGTGCCTGAGCAGAGCATCTCATAGCTGAACACTTTTCTGAGACACACTAAAAGCAGTTTAACTCTCCAAAAACACTTATTCAGCGGCTTCACCTGAGTGGCACAAATCCACACAACCACCACATTGCAGTTAGAACAAGAAATTCGTAATTGCCATTTAGTTCTTGTTAGATCAACTACCCTTTGGGAAAAGAATTTAAGAAATGACTGAACAGATCATCCAGACCATACATCACTACCCAGGTGCACATTTTTCACAGCATTTGGTAATGGCCTTTCCTATCGTTAGCGACATTTGAATTTAACCAAGGAACAGTGCCAGTCCCTGCTCTCATATTGCCACTGGAGAAACTGCACAAAAAGCAGCACAGCATGGCCTCACATTGGATGGTCCTTAGGAACAGCACAATTTATGCTGACATGATTTCCCAGTTCTGGGGCAGGAGGAGAGCCCAGCAAAACAACTCTGTGGGAATATTTGAAATATAAAATAAGAATGCAGGAGATATTTGACCTTTGGGCTTCTAGTACATATAATGATAGAAAGGCTAGAGGACAAATACTGTTGACCCATTCTCTTTTGATTTGCCTGTCTTTCCCTTCCCAGACATCCCAATTTATCTTAGCCATATTTGCATGGCCATCCATAGAATAGAAATAGAAAAAGAAATATGGTAGAAATAGGAATAGGAGTAGAGTGGAGAAGGAGAAGGAGGAGAAGGAGAAGGAGAAGGAGAGGAGAGAGAGAGAGAGAGAGAGAGAGAAGAGAAGAGAAGAGAAGAGAGAGAAGAGAGAAGAGAAGAGAAGAGAGAAGAGAAGAGAAGAGAAGAGAAGAGAAGAGAAGAGAAGAGAAGAGTTGAGTTGGAAAGGACCTTGGAGATCTTCAAGTCCAATCCCCTGCTTAGGAAGGAAAACCTATACCTATACCATGAGGATCCAGATTGTTGGGGGCAATATGCTGATTCTGTAAACCGCTTAGAGACTGCTGTAAAAGCACTATGAAGCAGTATATAAGTCTAAGTGCTAAGTGCTATTTCAGACAAATGTGTTGTCTAATCTCTTCTTTAAAACTTCCAGTGTTGGAGCATTCACAATTTCTGGAGGCAGGTTGTCCCACTTAATCATGATGCCCTGTAGAAGATGTCCCCAACCCTACTCTGCTGTTTAAAAAACTGATTAAAATAACCTGTGGATGAGAAACAACTCTATGACATGTTACATGTGCTAACGAGTCCCACTTCTTGACTATCAACAACTGCAGGGAGGAGCCTTTACATGACTCACACATGAGCTGTGATTTTAATCTGTTCAGGTTCCAGCTTGTGAAGAATTTTCTGCATTTATGGTTATATGTCTAGAAGGCCCTTTCAGCAGACATTTGCAGGACAGGTGTGAACCCCATGGAGAAGGCTTAGTGGAGGATTGGGGGCCCTTGACATACCTCGGCATGATACTCTCCTGATACTTGAGCCAGTTTTAATTACAACTGAGTCATGTACAGCAAGTACAGATTTCTGTGTCTTAGATATTATGAGTAGTCTCTGACATCAGCATTGAGACAGGGTCTTACCTTTCCCATGCTTTGCTCCTTACTAATATATTTCATCAACATGCATTGTGTTCTTTTCTACCTAAATGTTTGGAAACTACCTTAGTTTCAACAACTGTCTCTGTCCTTCAGTACTATGGTGCATCCAGGTGAGTACATGTGTGTAGCCGACTACTCCAGACATCTGGTGAAGCAAGCTATGACTCACAAAAACCTATAGTTGCAATATTTATAAGTCTTTAAAATGCCCTTCTAGAATCTGTGAAAAATAGGATAAGATAGACCAAGATCCTTAGCTATATTTGAGCAAGACAGATTGTATGTGGGTTTGTGTATATACACATACACTGTGTCTGAAACATTATTCTTTTTACCTCCAGATTTGGCTTTTCTAAGTACATGAAAATGGATGAAGAGGAGGAAGATCTACACCAGAGAGCCTTCCTCTTCCTGAATCCTGATAGTGAGTATTCCCAGGATCCAGCTTCTTCCAGCCAATCAGAGACCACTTTTTAGTTTTTAACCTATTTTATAAGCAGCTATTGAATCCTTGGCTGTCAGCAGTATTATAATAATACCATCCACTTGCAGGACTTGCAGTAATATTTTTGTACTAACCACTTGCAGAGCTTAAATTTCCATCTGTGACAGGTAGTGTTTTGGGGTGATTTCTGAATGCATTTACACAGGCACTTCCTTTTTAGATAGCATTGACAGTTCTGCTCCTCTAACAGAAAGCTAATTTGAAGATCAGTTCTTCTTATAAATAAAACGAACATATTGGTTTTGCGCACATCCTGCTGGCTATACACGAGCAGATTCTCAAGAGGCCTTATTAAAGGCATACAGTACTGCCTATGCACAGAAATATTTGATTTTGGCCATATTTTGCGCAGAACATCCTACAGGTGGTCTTGGACTTCATTTTAATGACAGTTTAAAGTTACAACAACCTCAGAAAATGTGACTTACTGTCCTCAGTTATGACTTGTCACACTACACCAATGGTCACGTGATCGCAATTTGGGCGCTCCGCACCTGGTTTGCATTTACAACAGTTGCAGCGTCTTGCAGTCACATGACCATGATTTGTGTAAACCAGACAGGAAATACTGTGAGAATGAACTGATTCTGTTTTATTCTAAGGCTACATAAACAGAATCTTGCAAGTCTGAAGATACAACACTTCCCGCCTCCATCAGGGTGGATCTTTCCTAAATTTATTTCTTGACTGTTAAGCAACTGTAACTCCTTCCCTGGTCTGATTCTGTCCTATGCAGCATCTTCTCTTCTCTTTCCTCAGGGTCATTCATATATTCAATTACATCTAAGACCTTTCCAGTTGACTTGGGACAAGCAAAGTAAATTGTGGAAGCCAGATTTTTTTTTTTAAAAAAAAATTGATTTATATGCCGCCCTTCTCCGGAGACTCAGGGCGGCTTACAGTGCATTAAGCAATAAGATTCACTTAACAACCACATGATTTGCTTAACATTAAGCCGTTTGCTTAATGACTCCTGTAAAAACTGGTTGTAAAATCAGGTCAAATGGTGTAATGACTCGCTTAATGACCACATCTCTTAGCCATTAAAATTATAGTCCCAATTACTATCATAAATCAAAAACTCCCCGTACCTTCAGCAACTCACTGATCTCTGCTTTTCCCTGTATCTTTGCGACATTGGATTTCTAAAAGCCATCCTAATCAAGGAAGTAATTTTTGCAGTCTAGACATTGTTAATCCTGAGAATAATATTTTGCTTACCTTAAAATGGAATCAATACTTTTCCTAACCTAAATCTGGTTTGCAGTAGTAAGAATATTACACCTTCAGCCTCTGCAAAATGTAGCCTTGATTCTTCTCAAAAGAGAGAGAGAGAGACTTTGTTAATTATATGAGGAAAAAAAATATCTTAATGTTTCTGGTTGGAAACTGACCAAGGTCTATCACTCAAATTCCTAGTTCTGTCCCAAAAATATAAAAACTCTGCATTTAAAACAAATAATGGGAACCTACATAGTATGTATTTTTTATTTTGTGCACAGTAATTTTGTACATTTATTTTTGACCCAAAATAATTTGTTAGTCAGAATAGACTAGAAGCCAGGAAGAACAACAGTACAGGCAAATGAAGGTCATAAGGCCATTGTTTTTTCATTGTTTCATCAAGTATCTTATTTAGAACAGGGAGGGACAACTTGTCTCTTACACACACCCCGATGTTGTTATACTGCCTTATTCATCATCCCTTGCCATTAGCCATGCTGTCTAGGATTCATGGAAATTGAATTTAAGAAAAAGTCATTCCTGCCTTACAATCAGAGCAATGGAGGTTGCTGAGTTTAAGAAACAGGAATATTATGGCTGTTTTCCAATGGCTTATGCTCATTCTAAATGTTTGCTGCTTTCTACCTCCCCAGCCTCTTCTCAGTCTCCTCTTATAAGCTCTGTTGACTCAAAACTTTGTTCTTTATCTCATTGTCTGCCACAACCTCCCTACCCATAAGTCATCTACCAATCACAGATACCACTCCAAGGTTTGACCTACTTTGTGAATAATTTCCTAGATTTCCTTGACGAGGAGGAAGAAGGTGCTGATAGTCCTGAACCTACTGACCCTTTTCCTGATGTCAAGAGCCCCAGTGTGTTGGATGCCCATGTGTTCACTGGGATGAAGAGAAAAGATGGGCCCTTAGCCACAAAAGATTATGGGAATAATGTGGACTATAATAGCTTTCTTCAGAAGCAAGAGAAGTTTAATGAAGAAGGAGACTTCACAAGGCAGCCTGTCTCTGTAGGCCCAAGCAGTGAACCTAGCCTGAGTCCTCAGACTCCATCTAAGGGCTTCCAGGCTTATGAGAATGCAGCACCCTTTGGAGAACATGTCATCATCAATGGTCGATCTCTCAACTGGGCACAAGATGTGGAGAAGGGAAGGAAGGAAGGTGATCAGGGACTACTGTCATCTTCAAAAAAAGGCAGCTCTTTCAGCCTCCAGCCTCACCTTTCTGTGCCCTTCTTTGCTGGAAAGACCAAACAGCAGAGTCCTAAGGAGGAGAAACAATCCAAGAAAGAGACAAACAAACCTCCAGAGAAAGTATATGTGACCAGGTTGCAACCCAGTAAGAAGAAGGCCCCATCACAGAAGGATGTTTTCCCTGGAGTCTTCCTCTATCCTAGATCTCCAAGGAAGGTGCGATGGAACTCCAGGATCCCTCAGGGTCGCCCTGCTCCCTCCAACAAACTTCATTCTCCCTCTGCCCATAGAACATCTTCGCTTGTTGGTAATACCACCAAGGAAACAGATCTTTCTAAAAGGAAAGGCCTACAAGTCAGCCGGAAATGGGAACAATTTTATGGTAGGCAACCTTTCAAAGGCAGTATTAAGCAGCAGATGCATCCAAGTGCCTCAATCTTGCCTGCAGAAGGGCTGTTCAGCAAAGAAAACTTTGAAGTCACCACTCCAGCAAGGACTATGTTAGATTTCAATTCTTCAGAGGTAGTGCTGTCTGAAGGTGTGCAAGTGACATCTTTCCTACAGATGTCAGAAATGACAGAATCTCAGCAAAAGGGGCTTGAAGGCCCTGAGAAGACCCAGGAGGAAGAAGTGGAAGAGGAAGTGTCTGATTATAGCTATGAAAACTCTGAAATACAGCAGAGCTGGCTAGAGGATTCCATCAATTGGCAAAGGACGTTTAGTGTCAGCCCTGTTGACTTTGAATTGCTCCGTTCAGACTGGAATGATCTGAGGTGCAACGTTTCGGGAAACTTGCAGCTGAGTGAGAGCGAGGTGGTGGATGTGGTGGCTCAGTATATGGAGAAACTCAATGAGAAGAATGGCGGGTAAGAATGGAAGAGAATTATGTGAAGGGAGGCATTATCACCAGAATAGATAAGGGTGGTGTGAGGTTCCCCTTCACCCTTCCATTCAGCAATTAGGTGTACTACTCTAGGGGAAATTGTTGCATTTGTGTATTTGTAGGATGTGTGTGTTCTTCCCAGGATCTTGTCAGAATAAAGGAGATAAAGCAATGCTAAATCAATCAGCTGATGCAAGATAGTTTCTTGAAGAAGAGTATTTGATGTGGCCCAAGATTCCATATGACAACTTTCTGTCCTTCCACTCCCCAGCATCTACACCCTCTTGCGAATCATTAATGTTGAGAAGCGGCGAGACACAGCCCGAGGAAACCGCTATCTGATGGAGTTAGAGCTGATGGAGAGGGGCCAGAGAACAGTCCGGCTCTCAGAATACATCTATGTCCTGCTCCACCAGGGCAAGTCAGAGGACAGCACTGAAGTCAACCCTGAAAGGCCTGCAACTGTGTCCACTCAATCTCAACCACCACCTAGTGCCTGGAGTCTTCTGTACGGAAAACCCATCCTCTGCCGACCTTTGCGGCTCAGCTGGAGGCATGATGTTATGGTACATTTTGTCGTCCCAGGTAAGCGATCGTCCTCTGTATCCCAGGGTTGAAAGGCTGGTTTTCCCAGCAGAGATGGCATGATGTATGAGGCAGAGGGAAAACAAAACGGGAGACCAACTATAGTTGGCTTGGGGTTGAAAGTAGTTTGGAAAACTCTTGGAATACACAAATATTATTTTTATCCTGCTATTACTTCTGGAAAAGTGGATTTTTCAGGGTTTTTTTTTTTTTAAATCAATATATCAACTATAGAATTTGCTTAATAGGAAAAAAAATTGGGATGAATATATTTAGCATGGGCATATTTTGCATGGACATATTTAGTATTCTTTTTTAATATTGTCTTGGTGTTTTGTTTTGTTTTAAGTCAGGAAAAAGAAAGATCCATGCTTGAGATTTTTGGCCAGAGATGAATTTGCTTCTACCTCATTATTGTTCCTTTGGGACCTTCTTGACATTAAATGAAAGAAATTATGGGAGGAAAGTCTATCTTTGCTCCATTTGGGAAGGAAATGAGAGAAGGGTAAAATGACTAAGATCTGTCCCTCCCATGCTAATCTCTGTACACCATGAAAGGAGAGTAAGCAAATAAAGACTACTGTATCCCAGATCTTAAATTATGTGTTTTTGTTTGCATTGGTAAATCCCATATTCTATAACGAGGCTATAGAAGGAGCAAAGATGTACTGATCAATAGGTGATAAAGGAAATTATTTCGGTTCTTAGCTATATTGGCATCTCTTCACTGTATAATTCTTTCATTCTGCCATTAGAATAATGTAATGCTCAAATACTGAATTTCTATGGGCTAGAAACTTCTGAAGTCTTTTGAAGGCATGATTGAAACCTATGCTGAGAATTGTCCCTATGCTCTTACTATTGTGTGTCCATATGGATAATTGAAGCCTTTAATTAGGGGAATGTTTCCCCATGAACTCTCTATTGAGTTTTTGTGTTAAAATGTCAAAAATCCCTGTTCATATCTTGCAGTGAAGAACCAAGCACGCTGGGTACAGCAATTCATCTCAGATATGGCCAGCCTATTTCTGAACACCAAGGATGCCAACTTCAATATCATATTGGTGGATTTTGATAGCGATGACATGAATGTGGAGAAAGCACTTCAGGAGGCTCACCTGCCCAGGTAACCCAAGCAGTGATGAAAGCTTCAGAACTATTTCCTCTGATGGTTCTCCCTAAGTCCTCACTGCGAAATCTTAAAACTCCCAAACCTCTTTTAATGACTGCAAATGTTGCCCAGTACTTTTCTGTGCAACGTATGGTAGGTTCAGTTAACCACTAGGGAGATGGAAAGCTGTTTTAATAAAATCTGCTCAGTTTCCTCTCTAAACTTGCCACTTCATTGCAAACAACCTGTTTTCTTCAGTGTGTAGGGGAGTGAGGCTTCAGTAGCAAAGGCTAACAGCACAAATGAACCAATGCAATGGTGGGTTCTTTCCGGTTCGGTCCGGTTCGGCCGAGCTGGTAGCAGTGATGATATGACGTCACCGAACCGGTTCTCCCCACCCCCACCCTTCCACCCCCCCACCCACATTATTCTTACCTTTTATTTGGTCCCACCCCCAATCTATTGCTGCCTCCTGAGTCCCAGCTGATGACTAGAGGGAAAAAAACTGTTTAAACTCTTGCCGCGGGGCTTCAAAGGGCCATCCTACAGCTGATCAGTGTTAAAAGCAAACAAATGAGTTGGGTCGTAAGTGCGAGGACTGGTCGTAAGTGCGAGGACCTTCCAGAAATGACTGATCAGCTAGCCATGCCCACCTAGTCACATGACTTCCAAGCCACACCCACAAAATAAGCCACGTCCACAGAACCGGTAGTAAAAAAATTTAGAACCCACCCCTGAACCAGTGCTTGTGTATATAAAAAAGAAATGCCAACAACAGTGACCAAAGGTGTGTGTGTGTGTGTGTGTGTGTGTGTGGTGTCTCTAGTTAATGCCGTCACTCTATTAAATCTGAATGAGTTCTTAGTTCTATTAACTATTTTAAATATCAAGATGATAAATTAATAAGCAGATAACATTTCTAGGGCTGCAGGTTTTAATCAGTTTTATTGATAGGTTAAAGCTATGCCATGAACATATGTATTAGAAAGTGAACCTTATTGAAAACAGTGGATGTATGTGTCCCCTTTATTCATTCTTCAGCCAAAAGGACTCCCAAAGCAACTTCCATAAATTCCATTCATTGAAAAGGATAAATAATCAGTGTATCAATAAACAACCAGTTATATTTTGGCTAAATGTTTTTGATATAATTATTCCAAAAGCCAATCGGCAGATATAACTGAAGGAAACCGAACCACTTAAGAATCTAAAAGAGACACCAGATATAAGAAATTGAAGGACAATCAGCTTGAAGTCACCACTATTATATGGAGCCTGTCCCCAGGATTAATATAGAGTAAGGAAAGAAGAAAGACAGCTATGACTGTGATTTTATAACCCAGCTTGAGCATGCTGAGTCAAGGCTGACTCAGCCTTCCATCCTTCTGAGGTCTGTAAAATGAGGACCCAGATTGTTGGGGGCAATATGCTGACTCTGTAAACTGATTAGAGAGGGCTGTAAAGCACTGTGAAGTGGTATATAAGTCTAAGTGCTATTGCTCAAAAGCCCTAGCTGGCACAAAACAATTAGCCACTCTCCAGTTTGATCTTCTAGGTATGTCCATTTGAGAGTATGGCAATTTAAGGGTCAATTACTTTTAGGGTTGTTATTTTTTTAAAAAAAGAAAAGAACAGAGAAGAAACAAAGAGGGTGACAATGCCCCTTACTTCATCCTTGCTTATTCTCTGCAGCGAGAGGCAAGAGGCTCTTTGCCAGGGGTGAAATTCAAAATTTTTCCCTACCTGTTCTGTGGGCGTGGCTTGGTGGGCATGGCAGGGGAAGGATACTGCAAAATCTCCATTCCCACCCCACTCCAGGGGAAGGATATTGCAAAATCTCCATTCCCACACCACTCTGGGGCCAGCCAAAGGTGGTATTTGCTGGTTCTCCAAACTACTCAAAATGTCCGCTACCGGTTCTCCAGAACCTGTTAGAACCTGCTGGATTTCACCCCTGCTCCTTGCCCTCCTATGGACAGTCGAAACCAAAAGGGGAAAAAAGGGAGTGATGAGGAAAGTAATACTAAACAACTGTAATGAAAAGCTAGAAGATCTGAGGTAGTGGTCCTGTGATTGACTTAAAACTTTGCAACAAGAGCCTGTGGATACAAACATAGAAGTAATTCCACTGAATTAAATAGGATTTATGCCCTGTTAAGCATGCCGCCTGAATTAATCTGAGAAAGCTCATTCTGAATTGTGGGCCTGCAAGTTAAAGAACAGCTCCTAATTATCCATTTGTTTTTATGTCTCTTGGCTTCAATTATCATTCTACAATGAGCAAGAAAATGTCAGTGATGAACTTTCCTTCTAAAAATAACTGAAGAGTTCACTGATTAAAATGTTACTGGTGAACTTTCGATAAGATATGAATTTATTTACATTTGGTTGAAAAGTTAAAGAGTTAAGAGTTAAAATGCTCAACTTTCTTGCATGTCCTCTTCTTGACTGTCACATACTCTCCTCCACCTAGAATAATCACTTCTTGATTTGTAGCTGCTTCCTTGATACTGGGAAACCTCTGGTATTTATTTATTTATTTGTTTAAATTTCTATACCGCCCTTCTCCAATATAGGACTCAGGGCGGTGAACAGCCGAAAATAAAAACAAGACATACATACAAAACATACAAAATCTAAAAACTGATTAAAATAATTAAATCTTTTGGCCGTGATTAAAACAATTTCAATTTAAAATCAGTTTAAAATTTGACTCAAGCCAGCCCAGCTAGTTGAAATAAATGGGTTTTCAGGGCCCGACGAAAAATCCGGAGGTCTGTTATTGTACGTAACTCTGGGGGGAGGTTGTTCCAGAGGGTGGGCGCCACCACAGAGAAGGCTCTCCCCCTGGGGGTCGCCAGCCGACATTGTCTGGCGGACGGCACCCTGAGGAGGCCCACTCTGTGTGAGCGTACTGGCCGGTGGGAGGCTATTGGTGGCAGAAGGCGGTCTCGTAAGTACCCCGGCCCTAAGCCATGGAGCGCTTTAAAGGTGGTCACCAACACCTTGAAGCGCACCCGGAAGACCACCGGGAGCCAGTGCAGCTCGCGCAGGAGAGGTGTCACATGGGAGCGCCTCGTCGCCCCCATAATCCCCCGCGCGGCCGCGTTCTGGACCAGCTGGAGCCTCCGGGTGCACCCCAGGGGGAGCCCCATGTAGAGAGCGTTACAGTAGTCCAGGCGGGAAATGACGAGTGCCTGAGTGACTGTGCGTAGGGAGTCCCGATCTAGAAAGGGGCGCAACTGGCGTATCAGGCGAACCTGATAGAAAGCCCCCCTGGCCACGGCCATCAAATGATCTTCCAAAGACAGCCGTGCATCCAGGAGGACGCCCAAGTTACGAGCCCTCTCCGTGGGGGCGAGTGATTCGCCCCCAATAGCCAGCGATGGCATCAGCTGGCTATATCGGGACGCCGGAAGCCACAGCCACTCGGTCTTGGAGGGGTTGAGTCGGAGCCTGTTTCTCCCCATCCAGGCCCGCACGGCCTCCAGGCACTGGGACATCACTTCAAGGGCATCATTGGGGTGGCCTGGGGTGGGGATGTACAGCTGGGTGTCATCAGCGTACTGATGGAACTCCACCCCGAAGCCACGGATGATCTCACCCAGCGGCTTTACATAAATGTTGAACAGAAGGGGCGAGAGGACCGACCCTTGTGGCACCCCACAAGCAAGGTGCCTCGGGGTCGACCGCTGCCCCCCTGTCAACACAGATTGCGACCGGTCAGAGAGGTAGGAGGAGAACCACCGCAGAACGGTGCCTCCCACCCCCAACCCCGCCAACCGGTGCAACATGATACCATGGTCGATGGTATCAAAAGCCGCTGAGAGGTCTAACAGGACCAGGATAGAGGAGCAGCCCCTATCCCGGGCCCTCCAGAGATCATCCACCAATGCGACCAATGCCGTTTCCGTGCTGTGCCCAGGCCGGAAGCCGGACTGGAGCGGGTCTAGATAGACAGTTTCATCCAGGTACCGGGGAAGCTGTTGCGCCACCACACTCTCAACAACCTTCGCAACGAAGCGAAGGTTGGAGACTGGACGATAGTTAGCCAAAACAGCCGGATCCAGAGAGGGCTTCTTGAGGAGGGGCCTCACAACCGCTTCTTTCAAAGCGGCCGGCAGGACCCCCTCACTCAAAGAAGCGTTAACAATCTTCTGGAGCCAGCCTCGTGTCACCTCCCGGGAAGCCAGTACCAACCAGGAGGGACACGGGTCCAATAAACATGTGGTCGCATTCAGCCGTCCCAGGACCCTGTCCATGTCCTCGGGAGCCACAGGATCGAACTCCCCCCAGATAACGCTCTCAAGACCTGCCTCAGTCATCCCGTCCGGACATACCCAGTCAGAGGCCAGCCCTTCCCGAATCTGAGCGATTTTGTCATGCAGATACTGCACAAAATCCTCAGCTCGACCCTGCAAGGGGTCATCCCGCACCTCCAGATGGAGGAGGGAGCGGGTCACCCTAAACAGGGCAGCCGGGCGATTATCTGATGACGCGATAAGAGCGGCAAAATAGCTAGTTTTCGCCGCTTTTATCGCCACTAGGTAGGTCTTAATATGAGACCTCACCAGTGTTCGGTCAGATTCGGAGCGGCTGGTCCTCCAACTACTCTCCAGGCGTCTTTTCCGGCGCTTCATCTCCCTAAGCTCCTCGGTGAACCAAGGAGCTAGGTGAGTTCGGTGCCGGGTCAGAGGCCGCAAAGGCACGACTCGGTCCAAGGCCCCGGCAGCCGCACTATCCCAGGCGGCCACCAGGTCCTCAGTCGAGTCATGAGCCAGAATCTCAGGAAATGGCCCAAGCTCCATCTGGAACCTATCAGGGTCCATCAGGCGCCTGGGGCGGAACCACCTGGTCGGTCCCGCCTCCCTGCGGCGGGGTGCAGCCATTTTGCTGAACAGACTGTGCTTCCTGCTGGCTTCTCCCATCTCTGTGTCTTTACTTCTTGCCATTCCTTTACAGGTACCAGTATTTGAAACGTACAGGGAACTTTGAGCGCTCTGCGGGTTTACAGGCTGGGGTGGACACCATAGAGGTGAGACCCAAGGAGAAGTGAGTGGGTCTTCCTGAGAAGTGGGAGGTATTGAATGTCTACTTTGTCCCCCACTCATGGCCTGCCTATGATGCTCTTTCATCCCTCAGGATGGCAGCAGTATTGTATTCCTTTGTGACCTGCACATTCACTTTCCCCTCAATATTCTGGACAGCATCCGGAAACACTGTGTAGAGGGAAAGCTGGCCTATGCACCCATTGTCATGAGACTGGGCTGTGGGAGCTCTCCACGAGAACCCAACGGTAAGGTACCGCTGCTGCTGCTGCTGGGAAACTATTGCCTGTGAATTGGTGTAGCATTTTCAGGCACAGAACGAGGAATCCTGGCTAGTCCATTCCTTCAAGAAGCCTCCACTAAGTGGTTTTGACATAAAGAGCACTAAATGATAACACTGCCAAGTGTGGCTGCTCAATGAAAGCCGTCAGCATATGTGTGGCTGTTTTAGTGGAAAGAGCTGAGAGGAAGTGTACTCTTTTTTAAATATGTACCATATTGTTGCTATTAATGACTTCTTATTGTATAAATGGGGCCATATGCTTATTCTCTAAAGTTTTAGGATCATCTGAGCTTTGTGCAGTAGACATTCCTTTCTGCCCAATATTCATCTCCTAAAATCTGTTTCACAGTTGTAACTATTCTTGGAAATATGAAGTAGATGACTTCTTCTCCAGGGGCACTGTCTTTGCAGAGAAGACAACATGGGAAAGATTTAGACCAGAGGCCAAAATCCTGTGCCAGATGTTGCTGTACCCCTCCCTTTTGATCACTCTTGACTAGGACTGCTGGGACTTGTAGTTCAGTAAATCTGGAAGGTTACAAATTCCCTATTTCTGATATAGTTTGAGTACAACTATCATTAAGCCTATTTCTTTCCCCACTTTCTATATTATTTTCCATAATGAAGTGGAATTTCCCTGATATTAGACAAGCATCCAGGGGGGAGAAGTCTTGTATGACATTTGAATAGAGATAATTCATCTCCAGCCAGCAAAAGTAGATAAAATAGATGTTGATGACAAATATACAGTCCTATCTCCTAATATTTTCAATATAGACACTATCAACAGGAGGAGGAGAGTGGGGGAAACAGAGAATGGGAAAGTTTTCCTTTCACATTGCAAAGAATGGCTTACAAGCCTCTTTCAGGTACATTCTAATGAGAAATAATATAGGTGTACTTTTGGTATATAAATAACACGAATACATTAGACTTAATGACATTTTATCCTTGGAGAAGGTCAACATTGTATTTTAAATAAAATTAGATTTTGCTATTTTTATAGATTGATCAATTGACTAAAATATTTACATGTGCTTTTCCAATTGCTCAAAGCTGTTTACAACTAATCATAAAAACACAAAAACAAAAGTGCACCAGCAGAATGAAATAAAACTGCATCTCAAAAAGAGAATAAATAAAGGTAGGCTGCAATTACTTGTTTTGCATACTTCAGTTGTGCTTCTGGGTGTGGAGAAAGAGACAAGGTCATCTATAAAACCACTTTGGAGTCCAGCCCCTACTGAGTGCAGGAATCCAAATGAGAACATCACAGAGAGAAATCTGTCCAGCCACTCTTGAACAAAGTAAACTGTTTTCCATCATGGAAGAGAGATCACCACCCCTCTGGATAATTGACCTCTGTGCTTATTGTTAGGAAGGCTTCTTTCTAGCATTCAGTCAGAATCTGTCTCATGATAACTTAAATCCAATATTCCATGCCTTGCACTCTGGAATGAGTGAGCCAGTCACTCTCTCTAAGTCCTAGGAAGATGACAATAGCCAATAATTTCTGAACAATTCTGCTAAGAAAACTCTTGGCAGCTGCCAAGAGTCTAAAGTAACTTGAAGGTGCAAAAGAAAAAAAATGTAGGAGCTGCATCAGTTGCTAGTAGAATTTTGGATACAATTTCAAGGCGTTAGTTTTGTTAAAATCTTTTGTGACTTAAATCCTCAATAACATTGGGACATCTGATTGAGGTAGGGTTTACCTTCCCACTTTCTACAAGGCAGGAGGACAGACTGAGAACCTTTCCCTCGCAAGGAGGAAACAGGCCTCCCTGATGGCAGCCACTCCCTTTTGAACAGTTGACTCCTCCCTTGTTATCTTCAGAAAGCAATCAAGACAATGTTTTTCCAATAGACTTTGGATAAGAAGATGCAGTTGAGTTGAAGCTAACTGACCCAGAGAGTCATATTCCAACTTTATGATATTTTTTTCTTAAGTATTTCATGGATGTCTATAGTTTTATTTCATTGTGAGCCAACTGGATTATTAAGAATGGGAAACACATGAAATATTGTAAACAAACACAACATTCCAGAAGAATGTTTATACTGTATCAGAAAGACTGAATGATTGTATCCAACTTGAATGTGTTTATCTTCTTTCTGTTTCTATAACTGTTCTTCATAAGTCCTCATGTTATAGCAGACAATTATACCTATTGTGTATAGACCAGTTAGAAAATTATTTTGAATAAGAAAGTACATGCATATTGTTCCAGCATTTTGTTCATTAATAAGAGTGTGACAACATTCATTATGGCGCCAATTCTTTACTAATTGAAAACCAATTTGATCTGAGCAAAGGTACAATTTCAAGGGACATGAAAAGCTGGCGTACCCTTTCCCTACCCTAAATTGGTTCAAGTAAAGGTTACTTCCTTGTTTCTTTTGTATCTACATGAGATAATGTCGTTTGCTACCACTAAGGGACATATTTCTATGATCTAAACAGGTTCATTCAAGCTTTTGATGCTTTCCATATCAAATCTGAAGAAAGAATTCTTGGCTTGTCTTTTCTCAGGCTACTGGGAAGTAAATGGCTTTGGCCTCTTTGGGATCTATAAGTCTGACTTTGATCGTATTGGGGGTATGAACACAGAAGAGTTTCGGGACCGCTGGGGCGGGGAAGACTGGGAGCTGTTGGACAGGTGAGGCTACTCTCTATAAACTCCCCAGATTTCTTCTGGCCCCAGGTCTCTTTTGGCCCATGTTGGAATTCTACCAATCACAGGAAAAAGCAGACTATTTTACCTGAATAAATAGCTAGGAATATTAGGCAGAGAGGTCTCTATTGATGACTGTTTATATCTTTACTTTTACACTTGCAGGATCATTAAACTATTTGCAAGCAGTGGTTTCCACTTCTACTGTCCTAAGGACACAGTGAGCTACAATTTTCAACAGGCAAGGGCAAACTGAAGTACATTCTCCCCTCCCCATTACCACCCTTCCTCTCTCCCAGCAAGACAGTGCTGTCTGCTTTTATTATATGTGGGCTGGAAGTTATGAAACTGACTTTAAAAAAACCTGGGCTTGCAAGCAAAATCTAAAATGTGTTTGAAGCCTGTGCAAAAATGCCTTTAGGCTATTAGCCTATTGAAGATTTCCTTTTCAAGTGACATAGACATCATTTTCCCTCTCAGGGAGAACTAGAGTAAGCGCTCTTGATTATTTTTAACCCTTGCTTCATAAAGGGAAATCCAGTCTCCCCAGGTTTTTCCAAGAATGCTTTTTAACTTATTTTTTACTTTCAGATGGTCATCAACCTACAGCCATAATTGGAGCTGCAGCTTTGGTCACGTCACTATGGTCATAAGAAATTGGACCCAATTTTACGATAATTTTTATGACTGTCATTAAATGAATTGCCATGATCATGAAGCAAATCCAGCTTCCCCAGTGGGTGTTGTTGTTTTTTTTTGCTGGAAATTGACAAAATTGTGATCATGTAACTGCGTGTATAAGGTCATACGTGCGAGTACAGGTCGCAAGCCATTTTGCCAAGGCCATTGCAACTTTGAACCATCATTAAATGAACAGTCATATGTTGTGGGCTATCTTTATTTTCTCTTGGGCATGGGATAGTGTACATTTTCCTTTCATTGCTTCAGGCAAAGAACTAAGTATTTATCTTTTTTTCCATTTTTTTTTATTTGCTGCAATCCAGGACAATACAGGTAGTCTTCAACTTACTACCAACTCACCAACTGTTCAGAGTTACAACAGACGTACCTTGGTCTAGTTACAACCAACATTCAAAGCTTTGATTGTCAGGAGACCCCCTTGGTCATGTGAGCAAACTTCAGGAGCTCAGCAACATGGGCACATCTACAGTCGTTTGCAGCATCCTGCAGTCATAAGATTGCACTTTTGCCAGTCAGTCAGTCATTTTTTATTGCAGTCCATCTCAGCATGATTTTTAGGCTTTAACAGCCAGGATCAACAGTCTAAATTAGACTTGCAAACAAATATATACAAATTCTGAATTTGTATTTAATTTTTCTAAATTCTTAGCCATTTTGACTATTTTAGCTGCTACATTCTGAGCTGGAATTTCTCTACCCTCTAGAACTGACCCAGGAAAGTGGTATACAGGTAGTCCCTGACTTACAACAGTTCATTTAGTGACTGTTCGAAGTTACAACGTCACTGAAAAAAGTGACTTATGACCATTTTTCACACGACCATTACAGCATCCCTGTGGTCATGTGACCCAAAATCAGGCACTTGGGAATTGACTCACATTTATGACCTTTGCAGTGTCTTGGGGTCAGTGATCCCATTTTGCAACCTTCTAACCAGCAAAGTCAATGGGGAAGTCAGATTCACTTAACAGTCGTGTTACTAATTGAACAACTGCAGTGATTCCGTTAACAAATGTGACAAGAAAATTTGTAATATGGGACAAAACTCACTTAACAAATTTCTCACTTAGGCACATAAATTCTGAGCTCAATTGTGATCATAAATCGAAATTATAGTATATAATTTTGGTATATATAATCTCTTCTTCTTTTTCAGTATATAGACTGAAAAAGAAGAAGAGAATTTTTTCAGAGAAGAGAAAGATATTATTGTGCTACAATAACTAGTTTGAATTTTGGTACATTCTGGGATCCTTCTCCAAGATCTAATACACCAGTAGGGAGTAGCACAAAAGTTTTCAGAAAACTAGCACATGGTTTTATTTTTACCCAGCTTTTCAATCAGGTAAAAAGGCACCATATACATTCTCTTGGTTTCCCCCTCAACTATAACAAGCTCTAGAGCAGGGGTTCCAATCTTGGCAACTTTAAGACATGTGGATTTCAAGTATTCCCCAGCATGGCTTATTTTTGTTGTCTGGGCCCAAAGCAATTCATACATATAGTATTTCTCCAACCACATACATTCTTTCCCACCGTAAGGTTACTGTTTCCTTTAGTGTATTCTCGATGAATCAAAGGCAATCTCCCATTTTGAAAATAAATTATTGGGTCAGAGGGTGGGGGAACCTAGTCCCTTTGAAGTAAAGGCAGTACATATTCACAATATAAACAATGTGTAAGTCAGATGCTCAACTAACCACAGACTCCTGCATTTCCCTAGGTAGATCAAACAGTCTTGTTTTGCCCGCTGGAAATGGTTTGAGTTGAGACTTTGTCAAATCTTGAGAAAAGGAGTTCCAGAATCCCAGAATAACCAATGAGGGCACCACCCAAAATGTTATGCAGGGCAACAGGTTTGCTCAGATTGAGTATGCATGTTTGCTTGGAAATTAATCCCATAGAATTTAATAACACTTTCTTCTGAGTAAGACGGCAGAGGATTATAGCCTTAGCTGTTTGATTTGATGTACCCATCATTTATGTTTACTTCTAAATGTAATCCTGTCCTTAGTGAGGTCTCCTTAAACTATGAAGTCGTCTTGATAAATTGCCTGTTGAAAGAGACTATGTACAATAAGAACTGAGAAAACATTTTAACTTCTATGCAGCTAAAAGTATCAACACACCAATACACATCAACACATTTGTAATTTATTTAATAACATTTACTGTAAATGTGGGGCATTGCTGTTTAAAAATACTGGGGCAGTATGTACCACACAAATGATTAAACCTATTACAAGCTGCCAAGTATATGATACCTCTATAGGGAGAAGGCTATAATTGAGAAGACTACAGGATTTGAATCACATACTGTGTGGGAAATACCTACTGTATACGTAAGGCCATATACAGGATCTTGCTGGCTGGCCACATTTAACATATGAGCTCATTGATTTTGGAAGAGGCACTATTTCAAATATTTAGGTTCTATACCAATTAGGGCTTAACAGACAAATGTCTTCATTCCAGGCCCCATGGCAGGATAAGTGGCAAATAAATGGAACCAAGTTTAACAAATGAGGCCCAGTCAGAAAATGGGCAGTAATAGTTTAAGGCCTGATGCTCCACAATCCAATTTAGTATCCCTAGTACCTGGGGACACTAGTATCAGGATCTGAGCTGATAAATGACTGGATGATCACTAGTTGGGAAGTAGGGGGTCATCCAGATTTTTTTTTTCAGGCCAGGTATTGTGGCACTGGCTGTTCCTGCACCAGATGCAGCTTCTGAACTAACAGCCAATCCATATATGTGAAAACATATTCCTGTTATGCATGGAAGGGATCTGTAGCAGATGTTTCCTTGGAAAAGCTAACTTTCTGTCTCCTCTTTCTCTTTTCTCTTCCATCGCCTGATTTACTCCCATTGTTTCTAGGGTGCTTCAGAGTGGGCTAGAAGTAGAACGTTTGCGACTCAGGAACTTTTACCATTACTACCATTCCAAACGTGGCATGTGGAATTCACACGGCAAGAAGACACCCAAAGACTAAACATCCGCTCCGCCATCAGCTGGACTCCTCCTCCTCCTGGTCTTCTTTAAGCAGGAACACGGAAGCAGCAGCCACTGGACTTCACAGCATGACCCAGCACAGTTTTTCTACTGCTACAGGTAGCCTTTTGGATGCAGCATCTGTCAGAGGCCAGACCAAGAGCACTCGGAGTGGAGGTTTTCTACAAAACTACTATTTAAAGCAAACCATGTTTATTTGGGGTTTTGGTTTTTTTTGGGTGACTTTTCTTAAAGGGTCTAATTTCTTAGTCAGCAATTACATTTATTAACTCGGTAGTGCTGAAAGGCAAAGAGTACTGCTAATAGGAGAGTGAGGTAAGCCCACCAGTATTACTGCCAACCAGGAATGAGCTGGTGCAGCTTCTCAAAGCTCGTGTAACTGCCAGGAAAAGTTTATGACTGTATTTGCCCTACTTTAACTCCTGAAGTGAACAGGGAAGGGGGGAAGAATCTTCAATATGGCACAAAAATGGTTCCTTCTTGACCTGCCAACTGCACACTTTCATGCCAGTGGGAGATGCTGAAGAGAATTGAAAAAAAATCTCAAAGGGGCATAAAAAAACTTGTATCAGGCGAGAGGTGCTCCAGTTTTCTTCAATGCAATTTTGGATTTTTGTTCCCTGCTAGCTCTGCTGCTTTTGCTGCTCCAGTCCCACAGTTATATTGTGCCTCAGGTAGGAATTGCTCCAGAAGTCCGCATACAATAGAATTATAAATAACTATCTCCAATCCTGGGGAGAAGGTAGAATAAATGCATTCCCCTGAAAAATTAGCTTTATAAGGGGGAAGAAATAGCCAGGAAAGAGCTCATTAAAACTTTCAGGCTCCATCCAGCATTTTTTGGGTGTGATTTCCTAATAAAAGAAATGGGAAGTATTTTAGGTTTTCTGTTCTCCTACATCTTTGGGTCCTCTAAAATCAAACCTCCATTTTTTCTCCCCTGGGAGACACACAGTCTCCCAACAAGAGGATACCTTTCAGGTAGAAAGGTAGAAAGGATGTAGAATTGTAGAATCCTTCTACAACATAGTTGCTTTATAATATCCTCCTCATTTTTCTTCATCTGTTGGCTTGGTACGGTCCAAGACTGGATGCCTACAAACACGAGAGACAAAATATGTTTGATATAATTGTCGGGAGAGAAGCAAAGGTTAAATAGAAATTCTGGGAACAAAGGAATTCTGGGTTGTGATGGGCTTACAGTAGGAGTCACTGCCCATACTTCCCTACTCTGTGCCATGTTAACAGAGAACCCAACATTTAAAAAAAACCCTACATCCTTGTTATTTGAGAGAGACGGAACCTAAGAATTTAGACTAGGGACTGAATGGATTGACTTGATAGGAAGGGGCTGATCATGTTTTTCTCCCCTCAATTACTGTTTTTGGAGCAACCTTCTCTCTTTATATACAGTGTATCAAATATAGAGAATGAATGAGGTTTCACTACTTTCTGGCTTCATCTTTGGGTTGCTATGGTGAGAGTATCAAAACAGGAGTAGAGAGAAGGGCAAAACAATATTTCCAAGCTAATTTCTGTGAAATTATGAGGTAGAAAGCTGTTTTCAGAAAGTTATGTCTGATTTTTTTTAATGGATATTGTTATTAAAAAAAATAAAGTAAATGTCCTGGTTCTGATTTTTATTCTCGAGTTTCTGTTTTGTAAATTCATTTGAAATCATGATACCAAGTTTCCTTCCTGCAGAGGTCCAAACATGGCCTGCAGTGTTGACAGGAGATGCTTTTCAGGCATCTTTTCAGATGTTGCTTCATCCAAATCACCAAAAAGATTTCCCATCCTCTCTGCCAGGTGCTGTTGCACTCAACCAGATGCAGTCGTGTTTTCACAGAGTAGGGAATTAGTCTCATTAGTTCTTTCATAACATATGTAAGTGGTTCAGGTGAGCATATCAACCCAATCAGCCCTGGGATTAATTGTTGCCCCATAAAGGCCCAATGGTTGCGGCTACAATCCCTCCTCCAGGTCAGCATATCATGCAAACATCTATAATGATTCTCTTTCATCCAGGTCATGATTGTCCAAAAAGTGCTTTTTCAAAAGGCAACTGGACTTCTTTTGTTTTTCCTTGAAGGTGTTTCACTTCTCATCCAGTCAAAACAGAACTGAACTGAAGAAGCTTCTTGGATGAGAAGCAAAACATTTTCAAGGAAAAACAAAAAGTCCAGTTGCCTTTTGAAAAATCACCTTTGGGATTCTCATGCAAACAAACTCAAGAGGACTAATTTAAGGCTAAGCCCCTTCCTTCTCCTGCCAGAACAGAGACAAAACCCTGGAATGACCCCTTTCCAGTGGTGAAATCCAAATTTTTTTACTAGCGGTTCCATGGGCGTGGCATGGTGTGGCTTGGTGGGCGTGGCAGGGGAAGGATACTGCAAAATCCCCATTCCCACCCCATTCCTGGGGGAAGGATATTGCAAAATCTCCATTCCCACCCCATTCTGGGACCAGCCAGAGGTGGTATTTGCTGGTTCTCTGAACTACTCAAAATTTCCACTGCCGGTTCTCCAAACTGCTCAAAATTTCTGTAACTGGTTTTCCAGAACCTGTCAGAACCTGGTGGATTTCACCCCTGCCCCTTTCCAAAATTTTATCTCCATTTTGTTCTTATCGTGTAGGCACATTGGTAGAAATAAACACACAAAAGGAAAAGATGATCTAACTGCTCTTCACATGACTGGAACATCTGGAATGATGTGCTGTCAATGTCAGGAGAGGAGTTTCCTTGAGGGAACAACTGACTCAGAAATGTTTTGCATATATAGCCACTTATTAGAGCAGTTTACACCCAAGAAAATATACATGAAATATATTTTCACCTGAAGCTATAAACAGAGAATATCGTATTGCACATAAAAGTGTGATAGAATGCTCTTTGGTATATATCAGGTAGAATATTTGGGCTAAAGCCCAGCTGATGACGCTTAATCAGGAGAAGGTAGATTTATTGAACAATCTGTTAAATTTATTTATGAGAGTTTTATTTCATTGGTTGATAAGAATAAATGCTGTTAAAAAGAGTGTCTGTTCAAGAAAAGAACAGGAGATGCAACTCTCTGCAAATCTTTCTGAAAAAGCTTTAAAAAACTCACCATGAAAATAGTTTGTTGTTTCAAGGAGCTGCTTGGTGACTGTAATGATTTTTGTAATACCTAATAGAAAATTATCTTTCTCTTTTCTTTTCTTTTCTTTTCTTTTCTTTGCTTCCCTTCTCCTCTTCTCAATTTCTGGTTTTTTTGGGGGGGGCTCCTCTTTTTGGCAGGGAGTGAGGGAAAATTGTCTGGGTCCGTATGTATATTCTTGGGGTTTTTTTATAAATGTAAAGGGTGTGTGTGTGTCTGAGAGAGAGAGAGAGAGAGAGAGAGAGAAAGAGAGAGAGAGAGAGAGAGAGAGAGAGAGAGAGAGAACGCCCAGTGGGTAAGTGCAGTTGGGGGGAATTCATTTTATATATGAGTATAGTACCTTATTTTATAGACAACTTTGATCAGTGATATTGATTCAGTTTTTTTTCCGGACTCACCAATTTTGGGAGTATGGTTTCTGTGTTACAGCTTTTGGCAAAGGGATGTGAATGCATACGAGGCATGTTTTAGCAGTAATAAGCAGGCAGGGATGTAGATAGGCACCAAGGCTTATCAGAATCATGGTTGCCTCATGCGGCTGGTTGAAATCAGCCTGAGCAAACAAAAACCAAAAAAAGAGCATCAACAATGGTACCTCACGTGCAGAAAACCAGACCAGCCATGTCCCTCCCTCCCCAGCTATTTTCAGCCAGGGTGGGGCTATGTGTTAGTGTGTGTGTGTGTGTGTGTGTGTTTTAAATATGTGGATGAATGTAGAGGGGAATGGAACTCTGCTTTGCCCCACCCAAAGGCCTGTAGGTGGATATGCATTATTTGCAAGAACTTTGGAATAAAGAATTGGAATGCCTCACGTTTATTAATCAATGTGAAGGAGAATATTTGGGGTGGTTTTTAAATCTTAGGATGAGGTTAATTCAACACCATGTGCAAATGTTCAGATTTACTAGACGCCTCCGAGAATGTGTAAAAGGGTTGGCTATAACGGTGCATTTGGATCCATAGTGGGCAAGAATGCTTCAGATCTGATGTTGGCACTCGCTTTAAACCTATTGGCTTCCCCTTAAAGAAGCAGTAGCTTACTTGGACCCATGCAGGCTAAGGCAAATGCTTACCTGAGTTAAGAAAGCAGTTGCTGCATCTTTAAATCTCTTTACGTCCATGCAGCTACTTTGAGAATCCTGGAATATTCACTGTTGCTTTAAGGAATATCCAACAGGTTCAGACAAGGTGCCTGCATTGGATCTGAAGCATCTTTGTCTGTTTTGCATTTGAATCCAGCACCCCTCCAGTTGGCTGACAACCACTTTATGCTGGAAATATAAAATGATGCAGGTCACTTATGCAGAGAAAACGAGCTTGCTCCACTATCATGCTGTTTTGGTTTATAGTTATATCTCTATCCATTAATATGCTGTTTGAAGAATAACTTAGTTTAAACATCTGAATGTGATTTTCAATTATGTACAAAAAGGTAGCACTATATGAATAATCATACATTTACAAAGCGTGGTGCGTAGCAAAAGAAGATTTTTATTTTACAGTGGAAAAACAATGTGCCATCCTGGATTTACAGCCTTGAATTGATAAAATGTGTTTGCTTTTTTCCTTATGAACTGGCTCTTTATCAACAAACTGGAAACAGTAATCAACATTATCCTGTGGACAGATAGACAATGATGGATTGACAGACAGACCCCTTGTGTTTTTGTCCTTTTTGTATGATCTCCCCTTCTTTACTAAGGCAATGAAAAAAAAATAGACACAAGTACAATAAGGCCAAACTATACCTGTTAGGCAAGTAGGTTTAAATTTGATCACAGTAACTACTGCCAGCTAATCTTGAAGTAAGTCAAATCAGTAGTCAAAATGATAAAAGAAGTGAGAAAGAAATATATACATTTACAGTATCTAGACTCCACCCTCGTTGGTGCCCTACAAAGGAAAGAATTTTTACTTGCTCTCTACTATATTAAACTGGGCAAAACACAGCACTCTGTTTCTTTACAGCTGGTTGAACATGATGATGCATCAGCAAAGTGCCTTCTAAGCAGCGCTCAGGACCTGTTTTATTAACTTCAACCCTGTCCTACAGGTTTTCATGAGATGGGGTGTGGTGGGGTGTGGTTGTGCAGGGTAAGAACATGGTGACATTCTGAATAACTTTGGGGGGCTATGTTTAGAACCAAAGAGGTGGGAAAATGTGGACAGGGACCACTACCTAAGAAAAGGAAAGACACACAGTCTCTCTCAGGTGTTAGGAAAGTAAATATTTTCTTTTATTTAAAAAAGACAACACCCACCTATATAGGGGCCATAGTATTTCTTTCTGTTCTAAAAGCTCCAGCTTTCAGGCAGAAGCTTAGCCCCATGTCAAGCACACACAGAAATGTAGATCTGAGGTAAATGACTATAGCCCGAAGTTTTGGTGTTCCCTTAGGCAAATGCACGATGTCAAACAACTAAAGATGGAGTAGCTCTTCTAGGCATGATCCTGGCCCTAATTAGTGTTATTTTACATTTTGTTAGAGGAAAGCTACCACACTGAAGACAAAATATGGGCATTAAACAGTCCCACAGTGAAGTTTCATCATGAAGAAAAGAGTCCTTTTCCCAATGGCTGCATGAAACAATATTAATGAATAAATCTCATCAGTGCCCAGAGGCATTTGGCTGCATCTCTGTTTCAGAAAAGGTCAAAAAGCTGGTTGTGGTCTGGTTTTTGTTTCTAGGGAGCTAAGCCGCTTTTCTCCTCCAATTCACCTTCAGGTATCCACAGCTGTTCATTACTGTTCATTGCTCAGTTTTTAGAAGTCATGAGTGGTATCTCATGCATGTGGAGACTTGATCTAATGCAGCTCTAAGCAGATTGTGAAAATGTACATTAATTCCATCAGGTTGCTTTTTGAACCTTTAGGTTTATGTCAGAATTAAGTCTCTGAGAGTTCTCTAGTAAAGCTGATCTAATATAGTAAAAAGGACTACACACTTTCTACGTTCCATCTGAATTACTACATCAGGGATGGTCACCCTGTAGGCCAGTGGTGGGTTTCAAAAAATTTTACTACCAGTCTGTTGGCGTGGCTTGGTGGGCATGGCATGGCTTGGTAGGCGTGGCTTGGTGGGCATGGCAGGGGAAGGATAATGCAAAATCTCCATTCCCACCCTACTCCAGGGGAAGGATACTGCAAAATCCCCATTTCCTCCCAATCAGCTGGGACTTGGGAGGCAGAGAATAGATGGGGGCGGGGCTAGTCAGAATTTTTACTATCGGTTCTCCGAACTACTCAAAATTTCCGCTACCGGTTCTCCAGAACTGGTCAGAACCTGCTGAAACCCATCTCTGCTGTAGGCCATTTGTAGTCCCTCAATGCTCCATCTATAGATCCATAAATCCTCCCAGAGTATGGGGAGGCGGCTTTTCTATTTTGGCTTAGGGTTTAGCGTCATGAGAAAAATAACTTTTTAAGAGTGCAAGAATTAGGGAATCATGCTTGGTTTTTACCTCTGTCTAATTCCTAAAATGAAAAGAATGAAAT